AGGACTTTGTTTTTTTCGTGAATTAAGAACTAGGAACTAAATATTGTGTCACGAAAAACTTGTTAATTTTCTTTATAAAAATAAACCGAAAACGAAAAAATGGCAAAAATATCTTGACTCGACTCGAAGCCGCTACGAAATGACTCGGACTCGACTCGACTCGAAAAATGGCTTGACTCGCCCATCTCTGGGAAGAACGGTTTAAAGGAACAAGCGTCTTAAAATAAGATGAATGAAAAGAAATACGACGGACGGCAAAGAAAGACAGATAACATAACCGGATTTTTTTGCAGAATGTAAACTCAGTCCTCCTTCATCTGTACTGTGATATTTGTTATATATGCTCAATGTATCGTATATTTGTAACAACAGAATATTTACCTTTCTAGATAAGCTATATCTAGCCAACAGCAATTACTACATATATGCTAGAGTTTCATTTTTATACTAAGGGAATCTACACTGATAAGTTTAGATTTAACAAGGGATTATCGTTTCTAAAGAGAGCCATGGATGATGGACACAACAGGCCTCTCCGTTTGTAGGTACTTGTTTAAGGTAGCACACGGCAGAGTGAAAATTGGCCGGAATCTAGAATTTTTAACTAAGAACTTCAATAACGCTGTTTGTTTAGAATATGGGGAGTTTCCTAGAACTCGTTCACAGGTTAATTCTATAATCTTATTAAATATCGTTTTAAGTGTCAGAACCGTCGGCATCATCTCGCATGCCCTTGATTAGAAAAGAGGTTTCACTTATACTGAATGACTGAAAAATGCTCATTTCTAAAGATCTTTTTTCTTTAGGAGTACTAGACATGACATCCATTCATGAAAATGGTGAATGTGTTAATCGAGTATATGACGGTGTCTGTTCTGATTATAAAATAAGGCTTGATCTCGACTCACATCGATTGCGTATAGAAGCAAAGAATACTGAATTATACCGGGGAGATTTAGAAAATAAAAGATGTGAAATATTATCAGATGGTTTTCTTCAAACAAGTGAACAACTATTTGAATTATTAAAAGATTTATTAGAGCATAATTGTGAAGTTCGAGAAGAAAAATACATAAAAACGTTACAAACTCAATTTTATCATGAAAACGTCCAATTAAATATTGACATCACAATATTATTTGGGCAGACCACATCACGTCAATGGAATTTACCTCTAAATCTTCGTAAAGTGCGATTAGATGCTCCAAAAGCTCAATTAAAAGGACAAAATTTAAGAGTAATGATCGATGTTCTGCCCTATACGTTCGTATTTCATACAAATCATACGGCATTGATATCAATCGATATGCAACGAGAATTTATTGAATCGAAAGGTTTTGGAGCAGCTATACTAGGTAATGATGTGAGTTATGTGCGTCAAGTTTTACCTAATGTTGCCTCACTGCTCGAATGGGCACGTGAACTTGGTCTCACAGTCATTCATACACGAGAAGCTCATTTACCCGATTTATCCGATTGTCCCATGACAAAACGAAAACGTGGACGAACAAGAATGAGTATCGGTGATGTAGGTCCAATGGGACGAATCCTCGTACGCGGGGAACCCGGACAAGCCATAGTGTCAGACGTTGCTCCATTGCCAAATGAATATGTCATTGATAAACCGGGAAAAGGTGCTTTTTACAAAACAAATTTGGCTAAATTGCTTGAAGAAAAAGAGATAAATCGTTTAATTGTTTGCGGTGTAACAACTGACGGATGTGTACAAGCAACACTGAGAGAAGCGAATGATCGAGGATATGAATGTCTACTAATTGAAAATGCCACGGCTAGTTATGCTCCAGAATTTAAACAAACTACGCTAGAGATGTTGCATTCACAAGGCGAAAATGTATGTTGGACAGCACCGTTCAGCTCGTTACCACGTTACCAAAAAGAGCTTGAATGAAAATACTTTATCAATTTTTGAGAATTCAACCTCTTCTTCACCAAAACCGCCGTCATTTTGTATTCACTGTGTAAATAGAATATATGATCTATTTTTTATACCTATTTTTCTACTACAAATAAACATGCATTTGAATAATTGTGTTTGTTGCGTATTCGTGAAAGGTTATTGACATCTATCTACTAGTAATATAATATAAATTCAATTATATTCAATTACAAGTGTTGTATAAGTGATGTATGACATTTAAGTGTTTAATAGAGAATGACATGGTAAATCTCATTACTTGATACAAGACCTCCATGTCGTGAGCTGAAAATTTTAGAAGATGCAGATCTCTATTTACGACTATTTGTCAAAAAAATACAGTATCCTGGTTTTAAAATATAGCTGCACGTTTCATATCAAATGTCGTTAGATAAATACATACCTCAGATCACTGAATCATTAGATTAACAACAACATCAGGTGTAATGAGAAAGTAAATCCAGGAGAATCAATCTAAACAATAAGATTTTTTTCATCTGCTGGTACTCTTCTTCCTTCTTTTCCATTATAAGATGCGTTCATCCAAACGAAGAAGAATAAAAATAAATTTATAATTTAGTATAAAACGACTTTGCGCTTGAAGACTAAAAGGCAACCTTTTATTTTCTGTTGAAAAACTTTGATATTGAAGAGGTGCTTCAACCTAAGAAGAAGGAAAGCTAATTGCATGTGTTGTCACTATTGTTGTTGAAGAATATGTCACAGATAAATAAAGAAAACAATTGATGTAATTAATCATTCTTTCCTAGAAAATCAACAAAGTTTCTGTATTGAAAGCATATCTGTTTTGTAAGCAGTAAAAACAGAAAAAGCTCCCAAAAAGGAATGCTTTTTGGATGATTGAGTAGATTGGGTACGAATTCAAAATTAACAACACAAAAAATGTCTATTTCTCTCAAACGTTATTCAGAACTTATTTCCGAAAATAGAAATAGTTTTGCACTATCGCTCGCTCCTCTCAATATTATACATTACACATCTTACTTTGATGTATTCATTATCATCAACGTAAAACGACATCTGCTCCACAAATGTATATACAAGTTCGAGATGTGTGTCTGTCATTGTTCACATGTACTCCTTCTAAGACATTCTTATCCAGTGATGTTGATGTTCGAAAACCTCAAAAACAACAGAAACATAGGTTACAAATCTTACTAAATCCTCATAACAACGTTTCATTAAAAATGAAGCAAACCGAATAAAAACCTACTTCAGATGGAATAATCCATTTCAGATTGTTTTTATGCAAAGCTGAAAAATTCGTAACTCACTCAACATCGATGCCACACATCGAAACTTCAGAGCGTATGCTATTTTAGATGCTTTAAATAACGGTGTGGTTCAAAATGCGAAAAGAATTTGTCTGTACCTCCAAACTTTTCCATAAAACCCAGTCAATTCGATCTCGTAAGCGATATCGCAATCGGTGTAAACATACAGTTCGGCATACAGGGTATATCTCGAACTGGATATTGAGAAGAATAAATAGCCTGACCGCGATATTTTTACGTAATGCTAAAAACAATTATCGTAGTATTATTGCAGAAAAGCGCCTATAGCATAAGAAAGCGGACGAAAAACTGACGAGCTAACCGATCCAAGTGTTCCCGTCGAAACACACATAAGCATAGGTTATCGCTGATGCTGATTTCGAATATCATAGTCGAAGCGGCATACGAGCCCTTAGAGACCCGGTTTCCTTGAAAACCAGTGTTTCAGAAACTCTAAAATATAACTAAAACCTTTCTTAATAAGGCCTAATTGTAGCTCGCAAATTTCTGATTAAAATGAGACATTTTCCAGCTCTGCACGACCTTTCTGATTCACGATTATTTCTGACATAGGGTTTACAAAGTGAAAATACTCTATAGTCTTGTTTTGGATAAAAATATTTTTATTCAAATATGAATTCCCATCCACATACTCAAAAACAAAGCCCACTATGAGCGCCTTCAGTCTACAACATTTTGTTCGTGATATAAGTTTCATTCTAATCGAGTTATATTCTGAATAGAACATATATCCTGATCGCGCGCTTCCCACATATTCTGTGATTCTAGGCTGAGCCACTTTCCACCAAATTTTAGCGAACAAATGGTATAGTAGTGATACATTCTAACGATAGGTTCCTTCCCATCAGATACAATCCAGCAAACAATTCACATATTTTTATATCTCGAATGGGATATATATCTCGCTCGAGCTATGAGACCTAACTGCCAGTAAGATCTAAGAAGTTTTCTTTAA